GAGTTAGAGTTCTGCTGGAGTTCTATTATTAGGAAGGACATGATTTGAGGTTTTTACTGATAATATTTTATTCAAACATGTTACAGAAGTCATAAGAAGCAGGTTTATTTTGAACAAACATTACAAACGTGTTCATTCCTACAAAACTGTCAAATATATTTACAAACAACATTAAACTGATTCAGATTAACATAAAATAAATCATGTTTTATAATTAAATGTCTGTTTCCTCCTATAAAGAAAAATCCTCCTCCTGTCCTCCATGTTCCTAATCAGGGTCAGGACTGGGCGGTATGACCTCAAATTCATATCACGGTATAAATTGAACCCCTTCACGGTAACGGTATTTATCACAGTAGAGAATTATCATAAAAAGTTAAGATAATGTAATTTTTAGAGCTTTTTTTGCAGAAAACTGTAATATTAATTAAACACAACGTTTTTGCTTTAACGTGAATTTAGCTGTGAGGAAAAAAGATACCATCAAATACCGTGAAACCTGTGTAATTGTTGAAAATACTGTGATATAAAATTTAGGTCATAGCGCCCAGCTCTAATAGGAGCATATGAACAGATAAATGTGTTTCAGTTCATGCTTTCAATCTGTTGCTGCACATTTAAGGCTTGTTTTGGTCACAGAGCGTCCACACTGTTAAATAACACTCTGCCAGGTAGAAACCATGATTTGTCAGAAAGAGAACGTGAACGATACCCGTCTTTTCTGTTTAAATATCCCACACTTTTCACAATTTCTGTTGTTTTATGAACGCCTCGTTTTGGGACTCTGTCTCCTTCCATGGCTAAAAATAGCCCTTAGCATACACACATCAACAGCGTAACCGCTAGCGGAAGCGCTAACGTCGTAGCGTTGGGCAACACAAATAAGATTCCAGCCAGCTAAAGTGCACTGACTTTAATGGTACCTATTATTTCTGAAGCTTCGGGGCAGGTAACTTGCCTCGAGGATTTTTAGTGTTCGAATTAGTCGAGGAATCGTTTCAGAATTATACCTTATTAAAACAAATAATACAACTACAACATTTCATCATTGTGGATTTCATTAAGACATTTCTTTAATACTGGTAACAAAACTAAAAGATTTTGATAGAATGTCGTCTTTCACACATTTATACATGCTGCAGAGAACAGTTTCAGTCGGATGTTGCATACCATTGTTTGGTTCGAGCGGCTTGTTAAGCTTGCTTTGCTTTTGCTACCATGTAGATGTACCGATCTTTACGAACAAAAGTCTCCATGGTCTCTGTTATCTTTAAGTTCTGCTCAATCGGCTGTTAATGTTAGTGATTCCTTAGTTTCTTTTGTTTTGCCCCAGACAACCAGTTACTGAAAGCCAACGTTACCATTGAACGTCAACCGAATATAAAATACGGCAAGCCAGGAGTGACAAAATATAGAAACACGTTTCAGACGCGCGCACCAAACGCCATGGGGACGAATCGATCTCATGCCCTGCGAATCGATTTTCCCAAATTTAAATTAAATCAATCCAAGATCGATTAAATTGATTTTTTTAACCCAGCCCTACTCATGGATTTACAGGAGTTTTACAGTTTTTATTTTTTTATTAGTAGTATTTGCATTCAGTAACGTGTTCAGACATTTGTTATCATATTTTTTGTTTAATCTATCACACACTATAGCATTTAGATTATACATTAGAAAAGTTGATTTTAAAGGGGCAATATCATGTAAAAATCAACTTTTTTGAGTTTTATACCATGTTATAATGTTATACTCTGATAAAAACATGTCCAAAGCCTTGCTCTGACTCATTCATCATGTATGAGAAATCCTGCAGTGTTTTTATGAAGCCATGCTGAGGAGCAAAACGACAGGTGGGGACCAGAAACACCTTTTGGTACCAGAAACACCTCTGGGACGTGTCTTTAAGCAGAACGTCCTCGTGGCAGAGCGCCCCCTCCGCCCCTCCCCCTGACTCCTGCAGGCTCTCGGGTGAAACTGAAAGTGAAACTGTCTGCAGAGTTAACACTGGCTGTACTATTTCTCACTCAGTGAAGCTCTTTTCAGATTAAAGATACCTTTGAGGAAATGTATTTTCAGATGACAAGTAAACTGCATCATGGCACCCCCCGCACTGAAATGGGCGAGACAGAAGCGGAAGGAGGTTCTTAAAGAGACAGAGGCCAATTTCAAGGCGTTTAGAAGAGGAAGTGATGAGAAGATAAGTTTATTTTGTATTCAAACATAAAAACAGCATTTTAATAACAACTAAAGGTGACAGATACTTTATTAGTATGGGTGCAAAGATACATGAAATTCATGGTTCGGTTTGATACTTTAGTCTCACAGTTCGATATTTTTTCGACACAAAAAAGAGAAATGTCCACGCCCCTTTTAACTTGTAGTTTATTTATATTAATTATGAACATTTGTTTAACCTCAAAAGTACAGTTTTTAAATTAAATGTTGCTGAAACAGCAAGTTTCTCAGTGGATCTGTGCTCCACAGAGCAGCCTAGGTGGAGTAGTTGAACACAGATCCACTGATCCTTCAACACAGAGCATCTTCAGAAGACATGTTGATAAAATAAATGTTAAAATCTGTATTGTTCCATACAAGTGTGTACTGAACCTAAAGCTCTGGTCGATACGGGTACATGTATTGTTGCAGCCCTATTTATTATGGTATAGTATTTAAATGTATACGTGAGAAACACATAATATTGCCCCTTTAACTACATCACTTGAGAAATGAAGCATTGATCAGTAGGCTGTAGGAACAACACATTTGTCTACGTTTGTATATTTAAAGTGATCTATTAGCAGAAAATTGATCTAGTCACGTCTGAGTTAAGCAAAATTTGAGGATATATGTGACATAAGAGCAGTGATCCTGGATTTTATGGTGTGTACACACTAGAGCTGGGTGCTATGACCCAAATTTTATATCACGGTATTTTCAACAATTACACCAGTTTCACGGTATTTGATGGTATTTTTTTCCTCACAGCTCAGCTGATAATAAAATGTACAAACTTCGCTTATTGACTTTTTTCTTTTACTATACCTCTGTATCACTGTTTCCCTCCTTTTGTACGTCTTTTCTTCTTTGACTGGTTGTAGACAGTAATCATGCATTCAGGTCCGATCGTGAAGGGTTGAGAAAAAGTCATTATCTGGTCTATCGTTACGCTTTAATAAAACTTAAAAGGACGACTCACCTTGCACACCAGTCAACTCAGCTACACAACAAATCTACTTCCCCCCGGCTTTTCACAATAGAAGCACGTAAAAGTCTCCATGCATTAACTAATGTAAAGCATTAAATCGAACCGTGCACGTCACTGAAGAGGTGTTTACTACATTCAGCGATGGTGAAAACTCAATGTTTTTTTACGTCAGACAAAAAAAGCGGCTGAAACTCCAGCAGTCGCCAGTTGCTCCAACAATTACGTTAGCATGCTAATGTGCTAAGAGGTGCTGCGAGGAAACGAGTCCCCTGGGAAACAGTTCACTGGCGGCCACGACGAAATGTTCCGCACGTGTTCAGGCTATTTAAACCGGTATGTTGGTATTAAGAAAATTCATATCATAACAAAAATAAAAACCGGTTTTCGGTACAAAACGGTATACCGCCCAGCACTAGTACACACCAGAGACATGAAGACATAAAAAACAGCTTCTTCTGGACTGAAGGCCTGTTTGGATGTGTTTCAGCTTCTATGACATTAAAAGGAAAAAATAAAGTTGACAAGAGCCACATTATATGCAATTTGTGTTAATATACAATCCAACCAAAGTAGGGCTGAGCGGTATATGTGGTAGATGTAGAAACAGTATGAAGTTGGCCTACGGTAGAAATTTACCCTCTACCGTCCTGTCGTCATTACATCATCTCACCTGTGTGAACAGGGCTGCAGTGCAGAGACAACAGAGCAGGAGGAGTTCAAAATAAAAACAAAGAAATTATAGTGTTTCAAAAAGCGTAAAGAGAATAAACCCTCAAAATTTCCCCTCCCGCTGTAGAAAAGTTACATTGGGATTAGGGCTGCCACGATTAATCAATTAATCGACGACTAATCGATTATTAAAATAATTGATGACAAATTTAATAATTGATTAATCGTTTTTTTTGTTTTTTTTTTTGTTGTTGTTGTTCTTTACTTTGTTTTTCTCCAAACTGCTTTGACACCTTCCACTGCCACATCTGCCTTT